GACCTATTAGGAGATGGCCAGATCCTGGACTTACATCCCATGGTGAACCAAGTATCCTTACTGATGCTGACATCGTTATGTTGCAAAGTGAAATTCGAGTCCCTACATCGGTACATCTGTTTGCTCCATATCCAGGTGAAAGAATCACATGTCCTCCACCCAACTGCGTCGGTGTGTTTGCCGAGAGTCTGAGATCAGGCTTACGATTCTCTTTGCCGCGCATAATCACTGAATATTTACGGGACTGGGAGTTTCCGATATGCCAAATCGCTCCAAATTCATGGAAGCGAATCATTGGACTGGTGGTGCTCTTCGCCGAAAAGAAGTGGGATCTACCGTCGGCGAAGGACATGAGAAGCATGTTCACATTTCGAAAGAGTCCAGATAGACAAGTGTCGGACCCACTTCTCACTTTTTCCATTGTCGGTAAACCCCAACCAAGGGTCAAGGTTGGCGAATTAATAATGGAGGTCCCCGACACATTACATGGCTTCCAAGAGGAGTGGTTGTGGGTCTGTGGAGATTGGCAGTGCCCCGACTTCGCTAATGATCTTCTTGCCGACGGGACAAGCATCCCAATGGCTATTAAATCTGGTTATTGTAAGTTGTTTACCGTTTTCTTCATTTCGGTTATTAATATCTTGTTTTTTTGTTGTCGCTAACAGGTGGACTTTTGTGACCTTGTAGCAAAACCAACCGGGAAGAGAGAGCCCAAGTTCGAAGGTCTACTGTACGATCGAGTGGACAAGTTGTTTGAAGTGTCTCATAACAAACGTCGATATCAGCGTCTTGTAAAGGATTCCCGCTTAGAGTTGGCTGGTTTATCTCCCGGAATACTTGATTCTTCATTTCTACCAGGTAAATTTCTTCGCTTATCTCGTAGCATTGTTCGTGTTAACGAAATCGGTCTAACTTTGAATTTGCTGTAACAGTCTATTATCCATTGCTGGGATATTTTGGTTTCCGAGATCCCGCAGAAGCAGAAGAACATCGGAGACGTAATCCAAATTTCGACTTAAAGAACAAAGTTGGGAAAAACAAAAATCTTCGATCAACAGAGATGGTTGGGCGTATGAACCTTCTGAAATCATGGAAGAAGAACCCGAACCATTCCTAAAGCGCTGTCGGTGAACCATCATCCATAAGAGTGGAACCGACACCAGCGGTCGTCAGTGAGGCGTTGGTTACCGAGGTCCCACCACTTGAAGTTGCTCCAATCCAACAAGTGATGACGTCGGTAGAGGAGCCCAGCGTGGAGACCGACATCACGCGGGAGGCGTCGGAAGAGCCGCTTCTTAACGTGGTGCAGCGGCGTAAAAGGTCTAGCGTACCTCACGTGGCTGAAAGGATGAAGAAGAAGCCGAACACTGGCGCCGACAAAGATAAGAAAGAGGAAGAATCGGAGATTATCTTGAGGGAATCCTTCCTTAAAGTTAACGAGAAGAAGGCGGCAGAGCTGACGTTGCCGGAAGGGGTGTTTGACCCTTAGTTTTCGATGTTCCAAACAGTCGCCGAGCCCAAAGTTACGATTAACCACCGGGTCCCTACCGAAGCGGTAAAGGCGGCGAAGGTTCCCTTAATGTCGTGGGACCTAAAAACCCACGCTGGAATCGCGTCTCTGCCCGATGACCAGAAGTTCAGCTATGCCCGAGGCTGTTTGGGACGGGCACTTGTCAGTTTCATAGCGGCCGAAGAGAGTTATCGGGGCAGAGCGCAGGAACTTGACGAGAAACAGCATGAACTGAGCTTGAAGGAAGGCGCCATAGCATCTCTGGAAGACGAGAAATCTCGCTATGAGGCGACCTTGTCGAAGAAAGATGCTCAGTTGCAAGCGGCACAGACCGAGGTGAGCGCTCTTAAAACCGAGAAGGAAAATTTATTGTTGGCCCATGATCTCACATCGGTTCAGCTGGCTAAAGTTGCCGAGGTAGCCAAGGAGAAGGATAAGCAGCTCACGAAATTGAAGGCTAAACTCCAGGCAGTTCGCAAAGACCGGTCTGTAAAGAACGCTGAATTGATACGATGTCGGGAGGCTCATGAGACTGCTATGAGCAAACTCCATGAAGAAATGGCAGCCGGTGCTGAGCTCAAATTCCAGGAGGGTATCGAAGTCGGCAAGAAATCGGTGGCCGAATCCGACAACGCATTAAATGCTGACACAGTAACGGAATGGGAGTTAGAATTGAACGCTGCCTTGACCTTGCGCTGGGTGATCGATAGAGTGGAAAGCGGCGTATACACTATAGATGAGCTGCGTATCTTCCTCCTTCATAAGATGGAGAAGTATGGTTTTAACCTTGAGATGAAGAATGCCCATATTCCGGCCGACCAGGATGAAAGAGACTTCGCCGACCGACTTCTAAAACAGAAGAAAAGTCGGATGTTGGAATTGGACATGATACCCTTGTCGGAGGAGCGCAAGGCAAAGATCCGCCAGTCATTTGTCGACATGGTCCTCGAAGTGGAAAAGGTCAAGAAGCCTGAAATGGCTAATATATGTGTGGAGACGATTGCCGAGGCCTTTGTTACAGAGACATTTGAAGGCTTGTTTGATGAGGAGCTCTTGGCCGCAATTATCAGCTTTGCCTTACGTAAGGTGGCGGAGGATGACGCCAAAGCTAAAGGATGGGTGACTTACCCAATTCCTTCTGACGACGACCGTGTTCTGCACGAAGATGATGACGTCGTCGTGATTAAAGAAAGCGATGTCGTCCGAGCACTGGAAGAGAAGGCAGAGGACGTAATTCAGCGCTTAAGCCAGAGATTAATAGATCATATGGACGCCGTTGATAAGGGCAAGGTTGAAGCCGAAATTCCTCAATCTGGAGGAGCGTCGTCATCGGGAACCAAAGAAACTTAATGTTTTTTTATTTATTTTGTCGTTTGTTTGTTTTTCTCGGAATGTACTGACAATATTTGGTTTTGGAATGAAATATTAATGTTTGATGATTGTAATATTCTCTATGAATGCTTCAATGTGACTCATCATTGTAACAAGTCAAAATATGTCGGAAAAGGTGAATAAGTGTTTGTCAGATTAAAATTTCCGACATAATATTAGTGTAATAATTTATACGAGCTTCTGACGTCGGTTTAATCTTACAGTATTTCCGACATCAATAACTTTATCAGAACAAGTTACAACAAACTTGCTTTTATTGGAAGCATTTATTGTGAAAGTCCTTGAATGTCTCAAAGAACTTAAGAATTTTATTCTCAGCTCATCAAATCGACGTCGGGATTTGATATTAAAGAGCATAAGCCTCCCCAAACCATCTTCAGGGCTTGGAAGTATCCGGCTTTGTCGCGTTTGGCTAGGTCATACCATCTTCAGGGTATGAAACACGTTTAGCCTTAGCAACGGGGACCGATTTATTGTGGTCCTAGTGACCGAACAAATTATAGAGGTTCGTCACACAAACTTTATTGATAGCAAAATATGGTTCTTGTACAGGAGTAGGACAAAAACTTTTTACATGTCAAGAATAGAACTTTGATCTTCAAGCTCACTGATAATACTTCTTCAGATGAGTGGTATGCCAGGGATATTGAAGAGGAATACCGTCTAAAGTTTCGAGTCGGTAGGTGCCATTAGAAACCGGACGATTTACTTTAAAAGGTCCTTCCCACTTTGGTTGTAATGGGCCGACATTGGCCCCGGTGACTCTTTTCAGCACAAGGTCTCCTTTGACAAATGAACGTGGCTTGAGTCTTGAGTTGATATACTTTTCGCTACGTCGTTTATAAGTGGCATTTCGAATTTCAGCATCAGCCCGTAGCTCATCGACCAAATCGAGATTGACTCTCAAGTTTGCCGAATTGGTTCCTTCAGAGAAGTGAGTGATCCGATATGTTGGAGAGGCCAGTTCAATCGGTATTACAGCTTCAGTCCCGTATGCCAATGAAAACGGAGTTTCTCCAGTCGAATTTCTCGTCGTTGTCCGGTAAGACCAGAGGACATAAGGCAACTCGTCAGGCCATGACCCCTTTGCTGCTTCAAGCCGAGTTTTCAGACCATTCTTGATAATCTTATTTACGGCTTCTATCTGTCCATTTGCTTGTGGGTGATAAGGTGACGAGAAGAAGTGCTTGATGCCGTAATCTTCACAAAAGCTTTCAAATCGCTTTCCCTCAAATTGGCAACCGTTGTCGGTTATGATGGAGTTCGGCACTCCAAACCGACAAATGATTGACTTCCATACAAAATCAACCATTTTTTGTTTTGTGATGGTTACAAGAGGTTCGGCTTCAACCCACTTAGTGAAGTAATCGGCGGCTAAAACAGCAAACCGAACTCCCCCTTTCGCTGTTGGAAGTGGGCCGATCAAATCAATTCCCCATTTTGCGAACGACCATGGGCTATAAATTGACTTGAGGAGTTCAGGATGTTGATTAACGTTAGGGGCAAATATCTGGCATTTGTGGCATCGTCGCACCCAGTCTGCGGCGTCTTTCTTAATGGTAGGCCAGTAATAGCCTTGACGGAGAATCTTGTGAGACAAAGCTTGAGCTCCCTGGTGAGTGCCGCAGACTCCTTCGTGTACTTCCTGAAGAACTCGTTGGGCGTCAGTCTCTGGCAAACACTTAATCAATGGAGTAGAGTATCCACGCTTATATAACGTTCCCTAATCAATAGTGAAATGAGCAGCACGAACACGAAGAGTGCGAGCTTCTTTCGGGTCTTCAGGTAAGGTCCCGGTTTGAAGATAATCAACGATCGGATCCATCCATGTCGGATTTGAAGTTGGTAGGGCGGCGTCAACCATGACGACGTCAGTAGAGACTGTTGATGAGGTCGCTTGTTGAGTAATTTGCACGAACTCGACATTATTCAAATCGGTCGATGAGGCCAAGCATGAAAGAGCATCTGCCTGGATATTGGATGACCGAGGTATATGTTCCAACGTCATTTTAAACTGCGCCAACTTTCTCTTTACGAGATCAAAATAAGGCAACAACCGTGGTTCTTTAACTTCATAAGTACCATTGATTTGGCTGACTAATAACTGAGAATCGGAAAGTATTCGAAGGGACGAGACGTTCATTGATTCATCAAAGCGTAGGCCTGATAAGAGGGCCTCGTACTCGGCTTCGTTGTTGGTGGCCGGGAAGGTGAATGCTACAGAGTAGCAAAACACTTGTTGATCAGGACTAACTAAGACAATCCCTCCTCCAGCCCGTATAGCGGTGGACGACCCATCAACGTAAAGAGTCCATGTTGGATCTTCAATAGATGCACTGACACCTGGAGTAAATTCAGCAATGAAATCAGATAATACTTGAGCTTTGATAGCGGTCCGTGGTCGGTACTGAATATCAAACTGTCCCAATTCTATCGCCCATTTAATCATTCTTCCCGATGTGTCAGGTCGGTGAAGGACTTGTCGGAGAGGGTATGTCGTAAATACAACAATTGAGTGTTCCAGAAAATATGGACGCAGCTTTCGCGCAGCGATGATCAAAGCGAAGGCTAACTTTTCCATATGCGGATACAGCAATTCAGCGTCATGTAAGGCCTTACTAACATAATATACTGGAAGCTGTTCAAGCCCGTCTTGTCGTATAAGAACAGCGCTAACAGCAACGTTGCTTACACCAAGGTACAAATACAGAGGCTCATCAGGAAGTGGCTTCTGCAATGTCGGTAACCGTGAGAGAACTTCTTTGATGTTGTCAAAAGCATTCTGGCATTCCATGGTCCACTCAAACGATTTCTTCTTTTTGATAGCATCAAAAAATGGCTTGCAATGATCTGTAGACTTTGAAATGAATCGATTGAGAGCCGCCAGTCGACCAGTTAAAGCTTGGACGCCCTTGATAGATGTCGGGGGAGCTAGGTCAAGTATAGCTTGAATCTTAGCGGGATTGGCCTCGATCCCTCTCTGGCTCACCATGTATCCTAAAAACTTCCCTGAACCGACTCCGAAAGTACACTTTTTGGGATTAAGCACCATAGAATATTCTCGGAGTATATCAAAGACCTCGGAAAGATGAGTGATGTGATCAGAAGCCTGTTCCGACTTCACTAACATGTCGTCTACATAAACTTCCATCGTGTGGCCGATCAGGCAAGCAAACATTTTATTGACGAACCTCTGATACGTGGCCCCTGCATTCTTCAATTCGAAAGTCATCATGACATAGCAATAGAGGCCTCGAGCTGAGTAGAACGAGGTATGTTCGGCGTCATCAGGGTGCATGGGAATCTGATTATAGCCTGAATAGGCATCCAAGAAACTCATAAGTTGATGTCCCGACGTAGCATCTACCATGTAATCAATGTGTGGAATTGGGTAGCTATCTTTCGGGCATGCTTGATTCAAATCTGAAAAATCTATGCACAGACGCCAAAGGCCGGTGGCTTTCTTGACCAAGACAAGATTTGATATCCACGTCGGGTACTTGGCTTCTTTGACAAATTTATTGTCTATGAGCTTATTTACTTCCTCTTCAAGAGCCTTCTGGCGATCCGGGCCGAATTTCTGGCGTTTCTAGATAACAGGCTTGACAGTTTTACCCAAATTCAAGCGATGGCATGCTTTTTGCGGGTCAATCCCTTTCATATCTTCATGCTTCCAGGCGAACACATCGGAGTTCGACTGTAGGAATTGAATTAGATTTGATCGAATGGGTCCTTTAAGATTAGTCCCAATGCGCAGCGGTTTTTGCTGAGTCGATCCATCCACGTAAATGGTTTCGACATCTTCAACTGGTTCTGCTCGGACATGGCGATTCCCATCTTTGAACTGAATCCGTGGATTCATATCTTCGTGCATTTCTGCATCTTTCTCATGAAAAGGTGGTTCTTGATCGAGGACTTTAGTTAATGTTTCAGGCAAAACCGACGTCATAGGGATGTCGGTATCAGTAAGCGGCATGTCGGTATCTGGAATGAATTGATCAGTTCTTTCAGCATCAAAAGTTGAATTACTTGGCTCAACGGAGTTATCAGCATCCTGCTCTTCAATCATGTAAAATCTACGCGAGGTTGAGAGCAACATCAGACTTCGGGCTTCTCGTTGATCTCGGTAATGAGTGCCTTCTCCTTCAATGGTGGGGAACTTCAGGGCATAATGAAAAATTGACACAGCAGCACGGAGTTTGTAAAGGGCGGTTCGTCCTATTACGGCATTATATTCGTTCTGGACATCCAGGACTTTGAAGGTTTCCATAATGATCTTGGATTTTGGTCCAAAGCCACCAAACCGAATAGGGAGCAGTATTTCACCGACAGGACAAGAAATGCTTCCATTGAAACCTTGAATTTGGTCGTTGCACGGCCTAATGTCTGCGGGGTCCAAACCCAATTTTTTGAACGTACGAAGCATCAAAATACTTGAGTAAGCTCCTGTGTCGACCAAAATCCGATGAACAGGAACCCCTCCAATCGGGGCCGTTATAATAAGAGCGTCGGAATGAGGATGAGCAAATAAATTGGCATCTTCGATACTGAATGTGATAGGACAATTCCGTTTGTTAATGGTATCTCGAAGGTCAACATTCATGACTCGTTTCTCGGCATTCTGTGCCTCCCGGGCATAAGCTTTGACTTTCCGTCGAGACGTATCTAACTGTTTGTTATTGGAGTTGACTCGAGGTATGCAATGTGAAGAGTCTAAGGCATCATGTATCTTAGACTTCCTGCAGTTATCAGTCGAGGTTCCAACATGGGTAGAAAATGTAAAAACCTCCTTATCATTTGCGCGAGCTCTTTTCTAGTTAGCGGGTCGGTTATCTTCATCTTCATCGTCTGAAAGATCCAAGGGCCTTCCTTTCCGGCGGTTATCAAAATTTTGAAACTTTTGAAGTTGAGGTTGTCCGATTAAGCGTAAGAGTGCCGAAAAAAGACCGATACACTCATCGGTATTGTGTCCGGGAGACTTATGGTATGCACAGTACCGAGTTTTGTCCAACTTGTCTTCAGGGGTTCTCACAGGCCTCGGGTCTGGGATAATCCCTTTTCCTTTCAGTTCTTCATATATGGTAGCTGCTCCGGCGGAATAAACGGCATGATAACCTGTCCTGACGTTGTCTGAATACTGATCACGAGCAGCCCGAGACTCTGGAGTATTTTCATATCCTTTGGAGGAGTTCCGAAACTGTGCTTTCCCAAAGTTCTTCTTGTTCTTCTTTTTAGCGTCCGGTTCAGTCTTTCTTTCCTTCACCGAGAAGTCGAAACTGGGAACCGACATGGATTCTTCGGCAATAATAAATTGTTGAGCTCGCACAACAAACTCTTGAAACGTAGCAGGTTTATTTTGACACAAGGTCCAACGAAACATTGAGTTGGGCTTCAGTCCAGCAATAGCAGTTACTAACAAGGTGTCAGGGTGACAAGGCTTCATGTTCTGAATTCGGTCGTTGAACCGAGACACGTAGTCTTTAACAGTCTCGTCAT